TCCCCCGAACTCGTATAGTCCATCCCAAAGGATAAATCCACACGTTAAGTAACCCAACATTTCATGAGAATTCTTGTATTGTTTAAAGAACAGAAAGTTGCTCACATTAATGTATACAAAGAACTTTGGTTTCTTCATCTTAACCTCTTGCTTTGGCTCGTTCCAATGCCGATATGTTAGCATCAAGAGTAGAAAGAATGTGATCCCAAGAGATGAAGATTTCTGAAAGCACGTTAACCTAAGAAGGAAAAACGTAAATCAAGGATAATAAGTTTTCATAGAAGAAGAAGTTTGTATATTCCAAAAATGTTTATCAGAAAAGGATACAATATCATTATATCTATCCAATAGGTGTGTTATACGGGCAGATGCTTCGTTGGTCTTTGCAACTTGATCGATATTTTTTGTTTCGATGGGTGTGATTTGAGGAAAGAGTTTATCAAGGCCTAAAAACGAAATAATTGAATAAAAATAATATAGGAATAAATAAATCAAGAACTGAATGATCAACCAACCAACATTTACCCTTAAATTCCGGCGCATCAATAATATCCTGTAACTCGTTTATTTGCTTCAAATTTTCGGCCACTATCTTCAACTCTTCAGCGGACGAGCAAATAATTTCTGCCTTGGCTTCAGGTGTAAGGATAGCTCTTTCCATCGCAAGTGCCGAGTCTTTAAAAGGGGATACGAGGTCCGACACCTGGTCGTCTTTTGTTTTAAAAATAAAGTTATTAAACAGATGTTATTTTCCTGGTTGGTCTTTCTTTAAAGAAAAAGAATATCGCATAATTACAAATCTCGAGAAACGATTTCAATCCATCCGCTCCATCACGAATTAAAGCATTAAAGTCCTTCTTTATTTCGTCCACCCGTTTCAGCAACGTAAGCTGTTCTTTTAACCTTTCTTGCGCCAAAACCTTGTTGGAACGTGTGTCATATCCAAAGATTGATTTTTCCAAATGATGCACTCTGAACTCCAAAGTTGAAAGACTTTGTCGTTCGACGAGCGTATCTTCGGCGTGAACCATGTTTACAGGAGTTAATTTTTCTCCGGTTTCTTCGTTGTCGTAGTCTACTGAGGAAGAGTCTTCTTCGCGAATCCAACCTAATAATAAGTTTTTTTGATCTTCTAATAAGGAAAGTCGTTTTGCTAGTTCCCCGCTTTCCATGGCATAGCGATTTTGGCTTATTTATTTGACACCCCGAGTTTTTCAGGGTGGCTTTTTATACTCAAATTTACGGAAAGTCGCGGAATTTACCAATAACCTGAATTCATGTGTTGTACTTCGCTTTCTATTCTACTTATGGCTAAGGCAGTGTGTTACGATTCAGATTAACGCACGTACACATACATGCCAGTTTACTAAACAAATATTATTTTATATAACCTATTGTAGATGATATACACAGGGCCTGGCCTGAACATAACATGAATGACTCGAATCCCATTGTTTATTCATGTCATCTAATTTTTCAGTAACATACAGTATTTCGAACTCTCAATTTACCGAATTAATTGTACTGCATTAACAATTTAATTTAACGAACTTCCAGTGCGCACATCTTTAACTAAGTCACCAGTAGCAATAATAATATTTGTAATCAATAAGCACCTAAAAGTATACGCATTCCTTTCGGGATTGCTTTCGACACTTTCATGCAACTATGATAATCATCGTACGAGCACTGATAACCTGGTTTTCTAACTTTCTAGTTCTATGTACTGTACATGTATTTGTGCATATATACAAATGATGCAGAGTTTCCTTCCTTTCATCAGACTTTGAAGATCGACTTTAATTGTCTGGAGATTGACGGTTTTTTATGAATCTCCTAAAATTGAAAACAATATTAGGCCATTTGCTCACATGTTGAAATCAGTAATGTTTATAAGATGACCAACCCTTGCCGCGTTTCCCATGATTTTGTGAAATTTCTGTGTGGATTTTTCAATTTCCTCATGTAATCTGGATATTTCGATTTTATGATTGCTTCCTAAAGTGATCCCGATATTTAGAAATTCTGTTGAACACATTGACGTCACATCTAATTCCTTTACATACTGAGATGCTCTATATCTTTCTCGAAATCTCTCCGTGCACGTAAATTTTGTAAATGATTTTTATCAAGAATCTCAAGTAAAGTGAACATAGTCAACTAATGGAGAAAATATAAAGCATCGTAAATATTTTGTTCTAATTGAAGCATCTTTCGAAAACAATCCTACCTGATATTTTTCGAATCCTAATCGAAGTTTCCTTAAGCAATCAAGTTTCTCGTCGGCATGCTCATCCATCCTGTGCTTATACTCTGAAGCCAGTTTATTTCTCCATTCAACAAACCGAACAATAATAATTGCCTTAATAGACATGTTCCATTTCAGTACTTATATGACAATTCTTGGCACTCACGTAATTTCACCCTCTCGGTCGATATAAGCTGATAGAGTACTGGTCATTGTGGCTCTGCTTATTTCAAATTCTTTGTTAATAGACCTCGTTATTTGATCCTCGCGTCTTTTCAAGGTTTCTACAATTGAACGAATTTCCGATTAAAAATCACGTAATCAAACGCACGGAATTCAAATGCGCACCTGCAAGTGAGTCCATGATTTCACCGTGGGTGAGGTCGCTTGAAGTTTCATGTAGGAAAAAAAAATCATCAAGCGAGTGAAGGGTTTTCGCGTTTCTTAAGCGTTCGGGCGGAATCTTACCTTTGGTCATGAGCAGTCTGGCGTTGATACTCGGGATCACCTGACACTTGTCCTTGAGAATACGATTCCAAGTCGCGCCTCCCGAGTCGACACTTCTTAGAAACTTCAGCGCGTTCTTCAGTTCCATTCACGGAACTATTCAATTTAACTCGTGATCCTAAAAAAAAAACAGACTTTCTTTTTAACACAAAGATAAGAAACGTCCTGACTTGGATATATGGTAACACCTTCGGAATTACCGGAATTCGCGGGTTTTGCTTTATTTTTGCTGATCCTTGCTCTGTCCATTTTTTTCGACAGGAGTTCGACTTCTTGTTCATGTTTGGTCCTAGAAGGATGTGAACCACCTTTTTCCCTTCGAGCGACCGTCAGCTTCATGATGAAACGAAAATGTATTTCTTGACACCTTGGTCACATGTACACATAACTATATACTGTATATATATACTTTTTCTAATTGAATATCACGTGTGACATTAGACTTGATTGGCTGGTGATACTTTGGATTTGGGTACGCACGAGACAGTACGATTTGATATCTTCTTGAAACGTACGTAAATTCAGCACTTATAAGATCTAACTTGAGGTTTGTATAGCTTTTTGCAAAAATGCTTCGATGTCGTTTTAAAAAATGATTTAAAAGAGCGAAAAAAAAATACAAAAAAATAACAGAGAAAAAAAACGTACAAAAATAGGATCTATTAAAAAAATAAGCCAGCGACATCAAGCAAAAAAAAATACTTGTCTTTGTATAACATTTGGTATGTTTTTATTGGGTTTGGGTCTTTTAACACTTTGCCTTTTTGTTACTTTGTTTTATTTCTGCCCACTTTCGCATTTTGGGCTGTTTAAATCACAGTCTCAAAAAAGTTTTTGGTGGGAGCGAACTACGAATGCAATAATCAAAGTCATGAGTAAACATCAATGGCCAGCTACTTGTTTTGGTCAGGTCGCTCTTGTTCATGGCATTCTTTTTTGATCCCTTAAAATTCGAGAATCAAATAATGTGAAAAAAATGTCTAAATCAAACCTATGTTATATGGGTCATTTGGTTGGAAGATATTCCTTCCTTCGCCTTAATATAATTCCTCATGATGACCGATGAAAATCAAGTCGCCGATCAAACCGAAGATATTCAAGAACACCAGGAAGAAGGTGAAGACGCCGAAGCGGTAATTATTATTCTACTCCGTTATCCATCTTTCTTGCATGACTTGCATATCATGAGATGGAACATTTCACACCATCTTTTTGGAAAAGGAGCTCGAGGCAATGAAACAAAGGGTAAAAGAGATGGAAGAAGAAGCTGCCAAACTCCGTGAGATGCAGGCTCAAGTTGAAAAAGAAATGAATCTGACCTCAGAAGGTATTTTCCATTGCATATGTTAATCTTGATATTGAAATTTGTTTTTCCTAATTTATTGTCGAATGTAGACGATAAAGAAGCGATTGATGCTCGATCTATCTATGTCGGCAATGTAAGTTCCTCACGAGATCCCCTATGTAAAAAAAAGAAAAAATTATTTATGCTAAACCAATTATTTTGTTTTTCCAAAAGGTTGATTATGCTGCAACTCCGGAAGATTTACAGAACCACTTTCAATCTTGTGGTACAATAAATCGAGTAACAATTCTCTGTGATAAGTACAGCGGCCATCCTAAGGGGTAATAAGCAACAGAATGTTTATTTCACATAATTAATTTGATTTTTCCTTTTTGAGAATGACACCTCCACCTGCATTACGTTATCTCATAGTTACGCCTACGTAGAATTCGCGGATCCCTCTCTAGTTGCCAATGCGATGCTATTGGATAACACGGTACTACGTGGACGTCCTATTAAGGTAAGTTTGTTGATAAAATTAAATTGTATAATGTAGATTTTTCATGATCTCCATTCTAAAGGAATTTTTTCTTCAAGGTAACTGCGAAACGTACAAATATTCCCGGCTTTGCCAGGGGAAGGGGAGTGAGAGGCGGTCGCGCTAGTTGGCGAGGCGGATTCTATGGTCATGGTGCTTACTTTGCACCAACTTTTCGAGGAGGTCGCGCGAGGTAATTATAAACATTTTAATATGTCTAATTTTCATTATTCATACAATAACATGGGGAAAATGCACTTCTTTCCTTTTTATTTCACACAGAGGACGGCGTGCTGCATCATACGCACCTTATTAGTTAATTCGGAGCCGCGGAATATTGAAAGCTTCGACTCGACTGTCAAGTGCACGAATATGTCACACATGAATCATTAAGTTATTTCAAAAATTCTATTAATAGCTTAATATAGTGCTCTGTCCCTTAATTTTTACATGTTTTTCAGTACAATCAATCTTTCCATTTACCGTTTGATTTTTCATTTCTATTTGAATATCCTCAATTGGATATTTATTTTATAAACCTTCACGTGACTTTGACGGTTATATCTATGCTCATCGAATAAAAATTTTATTTCAGAGATTTCCAATGTCTGAAATAGATTTTACATCTGATTCCTAAAATTTATCATTCGAACCCTCGAATGTTATTGGTACTGATACCGAAGCTAATCGAAGCGCACGTTTTTTTAAAAAATATATATTTATAATTTAATATACTGTATGTATAATACGGCTTTGCCAATAAAAATTGACACCTTTTGATTTTATATTTTATTAACTCCAGATATTAAAGAAAGGCCTTTGGTTTGACTTTTTTTTTCTTTTAAGGTCACAAAAAAATTTTGATAGTTTATACCTGGATCCCTAAGAAAAAAAAAAAAGTTTATCCTTATCAAAAGATCTGCACTACATACAATATTAATTACATTTTGTATATTATATTATAATAGAAAGAACGTTATTATACCATATTATTAACAACAAGTGATTTAAATTTGTGATTTATTAAGAATAGAGAATTGATTTCAAAGGTAATAAAACAATATACAGTATATTTTACTTAATAACAAAAACTTGACTATTATATATTTTAAAATCAAGATAAGCTAATCAGGACATTGTTATTCTATATAAATTGTTTAATTGTAAAATCCAGTCAAGTGTTAAGAACAATATAAAAACATATACATATTTGTAATTCTAATAACGAAATATAAAAATTCGATTTTTTTAATATTAAAAAATAAAAATAAAAGTTTGCTTGACTATTTTATTATAAAAAAAATTTATATTATTTGAAAACAAATAGTTTTTTAACAAGTTAATAATACTTAATTAAAATATATCAAATAAAAATAATTTATAAAAAATTTTTTTAATAAATTTTTTTTTTTTTGTAATCAAACAAGTATGTATTTATTATGTTTATTTAATTATTGAAGTTGAAAACATACTAGTACAGGACTTTTATATATAAACTAAGCTAATACTTAAATATTTATTACTAATTACTAATTTCTAAATATGATCTTAAAAATAAATAAAGTTGCTTGCTTATTTTTTTTATTCTTAAAAGAATTTGAGTTTATTGCTTACAGTTTATTACTATAGTTTATCTTAGCAAGATCTTAATTATATTATATTTTTAATTATTTGATTTCCTTCTTTATTTGTTTTATAAGATTTTTGTAAAAAATTTTAAGGCCATAATATTTTTAATCAATAAGTTTGTGTCTGTAAATATTACTATTATCTTTTTTTCTTTTTTCTGTGATTTATATTTATTCTTGGACTTGGATATTTTTTTAATGTTTTCAAGTTAAAGTTTATATATTTTTCTTTTTTTTTTATTACATGTTCTCTTGCAATTATGAATTTTTTCATATCTTATATTTCGGATTTGCTTACAAAACTCTTTGTTTCAAACTTGTAATATTTTGTTTAAAATTTTTTAAGCTGCTATTTTGTATATCTTGAATATATAATATATATGAATATATTTTATAGTCTTTTCTTTTATTTACAATTCTATACTAATATTTATTATTTTTTTTGCTAAGAATAATTTTTTGATTTTTGATTTCTTTATTATTTTGTGAATTGATAATAGATTTTATTTTGTTTTCTTATTATTTTTTTTAATATACTTTATAATCCAAAATATATTTAACTTATTAAAATTATTATCCTATATCTTGTTTTTCTTTTTTTGAAATTTGTTACAGGTTGTTAAGTAATTTATTAGCTTTTTATATTTGAGAAAAAAGACATATTTGACATTTGCTAATGATCTTGAATATTATATTTAATTAGATTATTCAATATTGCAATTTATTATATATAAGCATGGTTTTAAATATTTTTTTCTTTATCTGTTTAAACAAAGTAATTAATAAGCTTTTGCTAGTATTATAAAGTCAAAACCCTTTTTAATTAACTTTATTATAATTTTTTATTTATTTTTTTTATTATTTTTTTTTTTTTAAATTGGCTAAGGGCATTAGATGCGTGACATTTATTAATCATTCGATTTGTAGTCAGTACATCAAGTATCTTTACAAAGTAGGCTATTGCTATCCTAAATGCA